CCTTGAAACATCTTTTCAAGCGCTCGAAATCGCCGACATAGAGCGACTTCCCAAAAACACAAAGGTAGCCCACATGATGTTGAAGCATGGTTACCATCCTGGCTAAGGACTGGGGGCAGATTCCCAAGGCATGAGGGAACCCCCAGAATTTAAAGACAATCCTTTCAAGCATGGCCTAGGATATGACCCTACTAAGGGCCGAGCGGAAAAAGGAAAAGGGAAGTCTCCCCTCCGCACACTCAAGCAAATTTTCCGAAGCGGAGGGGTGCAAGCGTCAAGAGCTACCCTAGTCATTAGGAGATCTTTTTCTTCATTTAAGAGATGTAAACCCCATGATTGTTAGAGATTATCCCCCGGGGCTAGCCCGACCCCTGGGCATTTTAGGGCACATATTCCCTTATTAATTAATAAAGAATACTTCTTACTATCTGTTTCTCTTCTTGCTATTTCATGACTAGACCTCACAATAACCTTGTCTAAGTAAGCAAAAAGAAAAGAAAAGAATAAAAAGCGCGTCCAAATAACCAAAATTCGCCATTGCCATTACAATCAAGCTAGTTGATTAGAAGCACCAAATAAGGCTTTATCTCACCATAAAGAAAGTCATGCTTCGCCAATATTGTGAACAAAAAAATAAATACGCAAAAAAAGAGAGAGAGACAAGCCCATAGAAGCCAAAGGTCAAAAGAAAAGGGCAAAATACCCGGTAGAAAACCCACTAAGGGGGCTACGTAAAAGATAGGGTCAACCCGGTAGGACACCCGAACAAAAATAAAGGGTAGGCTAGGCAAAAGTTAGGGTTACAAAATAAGGTCCGCTAGGATTCCCTAAAAATACAAAAAGAAGGAACCTAGACAAAAGATAGGGCCAAAACACAGTATCCTATTTCGAAAACCCGAAGGGCGATCTAGGGAGATCAACTAGCCATAAAAGCAATGAAAATAAAACTAAGGCGCGAGTACAAAAAAGGGGAAACACTTGCTTAGACAAAAAGCTTAAACACCTAAGCCTAACCCTAGCCAACCATTCTTACAAAACCTTTTTCTAAATGAAATTAACATTCTAAAACACAAGCCATTGAATTTACCTCTTTACTTCTTTTCTCTTGACCCTCACAACAATATTCTAATAATTAATTTGGGAATATGGAGGCGTATAGTCAACAAGAGGATTGAAACCCCTAGAGTGGAGAAAAAGGGACACTACATGGCAAAGTATGCTCTACAAAAAAAGAAAGAAAAAAAGAAAAAATAAATTATCCTTTGATCACAAAAGTCCAGCAGGGTACAACCAGATACGAGAACACAAATCAGAGGGCATTCGACGCTACAAGACGCGGCAGTTAAATCCTTCTGAAAAACTAATTGAAATAGGCATTATAGGACATCAAAAATAGAAACATTGCATGCATAGAATGTTTTTGAACCAGGTCCTATTTTTTTCTAAAAAAAAAAACTCTTAAAATCGAGACGGCCGTCTGGCATTCCCAGACCGCCGTCTCGGTCTCTAGAAAAACGGGACCGCCATCTCGACCAACGAGACCGCCATCTCGACTTGGCTAAAAACGAGACCGCCGTCTCGCCAAGCGAGACGGCCATCTCGCTTAAGACCAAAGTCGAGATCGCTGTCTCGAGGTTCCAGACGACCGTCTCGAGTTACGCAAAATCGAGATCGCCGTCTCAACTTCCCAGACGGTGGTCCCGAATTTGTATTTTCTCCAATAAATAGAGGAGGGGTCTTGGGGGTTCCTCACAACTCCTCTGCACTCCAACTCCCTGATCTCTCACTCCCAAGCACTTTACCATAAAAAAATGTTCTGTGGAAGCCAGACCAGGAAGAGAAGAGGTTCTGCTGGCCCTAGCAGTTCCTCAACACCTGTCCCTCAGGACCCCACTCAGCTCTCTCCAGCGCACCAGGCTTGTCTTGAGCATATCAGGGGGTACACATGGCACCCCATGCTCAAGCTAGACTTCGGCATCCTCGCCGAATTTGGGTGGGAGGACGACGTCTGGGCCCACATTGACAACATTAGATGAGGCTTCCTCCTATAGTCTCCACCCACCCATGTGTACCCTCAGGCGGTACTGGAGTTTCTTGCCTCCATCTCCTACGCCGAGACTCCCGCCATGATCTCAGGCCTGTCACCAACAAAAATGGTGACATACTTTATGGGTGGGATGTACGGACCAACACTCTTGACGAATTCAACGTGTCCATTGGATTCGTCCAGCCCGGGGACGTGCTAACCCGGGAATACCAGGAGGCATCTGCGCGCGCCCCACCAACCTCACTGCCGACGAGATGTGGGAGGAGCTCACCAAGGCGCCCACTTTGCCCACGCTGATGAAGGGCTCAACACTCCCCCTGGCCCTCCGCATTTGCCACAAGCTGCTGGCGGGGACCATCCACGGGAGGAAGGAGAGTCAGGGAAAGGTAACACTCCCCGACCTCTTCGTCCTTTACTGCATGAGTCAGAGGCGTCGGTGCAACCTTGGCTATTTCTTCCTGAAAGTCCTCAAGGATTTCGGGAGCAGGCCAGTGGGAGCCGTCCTCATAGCTCCCCTCATTACCCCCCTGGCAGAGAAATGGGGGTGCAGTGGCCGGGAAGAACTGGCCTCCAGCCTACGACCTGAGTCTATCAACGGGTCAATGCTGGTCAGCATGGGGATGCTGCTGCGCCACAGGACCCAACTGATCCTCCACCCATCGCTGGATTTCACTCTGGATCTCCAGGATATCGTGGCAATGCGCGATCTCCCGACACCTCCCGAGTTCCAACAGCCACAATAGCAGCAACAACAGCAGCAGTACACAAACGACTTTGCTGGCATAAACCGTAACATCTACGATCTACGCCAACAATTTGATCAGATGTCTGTGAGACAGGAGCAGATGTCCCTAAGGCAGGAGGCCTTCGACAAAAGACTGGAGATGATATACCAGTACCAAGAGGGAATGAGGCAAGAATATCGCGATGAAGTCCGGGACCAGGCAGAGTTCCGGAGACATATGTACCGGCAATTTCCCTCCTACGGATCGTCTCCAGACGAGAGCCCACCTTCTTAGGGATAATGTTCATAGAATAGGACTGTTGTAATAAAATTTTTATATAAATAAAAATTTCATTCCATGCATATTTTTATCCCTTCCAAAAAAGTCAGCGTAACCAAAAGAAACTAAAATTCAAAAGACGTGCGCTCAAGAAAAAGCCAAAATCCAAAATTGCGAGAAAAAAGAGATAAAACCGCGAAAAAAGGCAGGATTAAAACAAGTGAATCGTCTTGACCAACAAATCCCAATGACCAACGAAGTCGGATAACCACTACCAAAAGATCAAAATCAAAGAATCCCCAGCACCCAACAAGCTGGATGAACACCAACAAAATCCCCGGCGCAGACCGGACAACCATTCCTAGAAGAAGACCAACAAAAACAAAGAAAGCACATCTCAACGCTGGGCGCATGAGCCACTCGAGCAGTAAGCCGCTGCCACCACCAGTCCCACGCAGTGGACTGTACCAGCCTGATGGGGGGTTCATACTCATCCAGTCCAACACACAGCGGACTGCAATTACCAGCCTGATGGGGGGTTCATACCCATCAACCGAGGGATCGGCTACTGTTAGAAGGAGTATCCTGAGGTTCTACCATGTGTCAACCGAAGGGATCGGCTACCATCAGAAGGAGTATCCTGGAGGTGCACAACACAAATTTTCCCCAGAAGATCAACCGCCGCAAGTCGGAACATCCGAAGGGTAACCGGGCAAGAGGGTCAACTCCTTTACCTTCCAGTCAATCTTCTTGGCACAACAGGCCAACAGCCGACTGGCCAGGTAAAGGGGGGACAGCTGTAGACCCCAAATCTTGCCCGGTCTCATAATAAAGACCAGAAGACCTTCTATTTGAAGATGGATGAAGCCTAAGAAGCCACTAGGAGAGACTATTAGGCCCCATACTAGGATAGGAGGGATTTTCAGCATGTAAATAAGGATTTTCGCCTTTTAGGGTCGAGACCGTCGTCTCGGATTCGGGACCGCCGTCTCGCCTTGTGAAAGTGGCGAGACCGCCGTCTCCTTTGGCGAGACGGTCGTCTCGCCATTTCTGCAAGGCGAGACGGCCGTCTCGACCTTGTCAATAGTCGCGCCATTCCCCTCATTTCACACAGTTCTTCCATTCTCTCTCTAGTCACTTCCTCAAATTCTCTTTCTAGAATCCCTCCGAGCATTTCCGGAGTTTCTGAGAGTTTCTATAGTGTTTCTGAGAGTTTTCTGACGCTGTAAAGAGTGAAGGGCGGCCAAAAAGCACCCTAGTTTTCAAGAAATTAATAGAAAGCTTGTCTCAGAGGTTTCTACACTCTCTCTCTCCTTTACCGCTTCATTTTTAATTATGCAATAGATATTAAGGCCATGTAGTCGTAATTTTAAATTCCGCAAATAAAGGGTAAAAGTGTATTTTCACTGGTTTGTTTATTTAAAGTAGTTGGCCTATCATAGGGAACCCAAAAGGGGCGTCGTAAGGGAACTAACACCTCCCTTATGCGTAACTAACTCCCTTACCCAACTCTGGTTCTAATGACCAAAGTTGGTTTTTCGAAAACCAACGCCTTTTCACCCCTTTCCCGATGTTTTCGGTAAAAACATCGGTGGCGACTCCAGAAGAACCCTTCAAAATTAGTTCTTGGGTTAGCCCGGTTATCGGACAACCCAAGAGCGCCTTTTCAAAAACCTCGCCCCTAGGTTCAGCCCGATTATCGGACAACCTAAAGGCGTTGTAACCACACCAATAAAAACGTAAAAATTAGAAAGTTGGAACCATCGCGTCGTTCCGACCGCCTCGTTTTGACGGCGGCGACACTAAGTAGCAGCAAAAAATTTGTATCCATTTTTCATGATATTATGCATGGATCAGATATATTATGGCGAATTCGTCAGATTCCATTGTGTCTTCCACAATGAAATCTAATAAGTGAGATTCCGGGTAATTGTTTACATAATCTTCTT